CCCCTCACCTCAGCCTCCCAAAGGCGCGGGATTACAGGCTGAGCCACCGAGCCCGGTTTCCGAGTGAAGTTTTTTAACAGAAGCAGCAGTGCCAACTCCTACCAAAGATTGTGATTCTTACTCTATTATGTATTGCATCTTCCTACTGGAAAATACTTCCGGAGCCATCCTATAACCATAGGAAAATGTGGTATGATTTGAAGAATTGAAAACCTCCCTGACCAAGAAAGTTTAATCGTATTAGAACATATTCCTTAGCTCAAAGGACACTTGCCAGCTAATACTTAGCGGGAATGATTCCTTTCATTCATTTACTGAATGATACACTACTTAGTGCTTGACATACTCTAGATGCTGGTGAAACAAAGATGAATAAACTTTATCATACTTTTGAAAAGTTCACAGTCCAACAGGTGACAAACATGCAAACAAAACTTACAATGAAATGCAATGAATTATATAATAAAAGGTGTGACAGAGATGACATTTCAGCAAAAAAAAAAAAAAATGATAAACAGACCAGGCTCGGTGGCTCAGCCTATAATCCCAGTGCTTTGGGAGGCCGAGGTGAGTGGATTGCCTGAGCCCGCGGGTTCGAGACCCACCCGGGCAAATTGGTGACACCCCATCGCTATAATAAATCAAAAATTAGCGGGGTGTGGTAGCACCACCTGTAATTCCGGCTACTCGGAAGGCTGAGGCGGAAGGATCGCCGGAGCCCAGCAGGTCGAGGCTGCGGTGGCCGGGAGCGGCCACTGCACTCCAGTCTGGGCGACAGAGTGAGACTCCAACTCAAAAAAAAAAAAAAAAACAGATAAACAATTTAAAACGTGAATTTTTAAAAAGTCTCAAAATAGGATTTTATTTAAGAAATTTACATACAATGAATGGCATATATTTAAAAAGCAAAGATGATACTTTAAGCTCATTTTTATTAAGATGGGGAGCAAGGCTGGGTGCGGTGGCTCACGCTGGCAATCCCAACACTTTGGGAGGCCGAAGTGAGAGAATTGCTTGAGCCGAGGAATTCAAGACCAGCCTGGGCAACATGGCTATACCTCGTCTTTATAAAAAAAAATTTTTTTTGTCTGTTTGTTTGTTTGTTTTTGAGTTGGAGTCTCACTCTGTGGCCCAGACTGGAGTGCAGTGGCCGCTCCCGGCCACCGTAGCTTCGACCTGCTGGGCTCCGGCGATCCTTCCGCCTCAGCCTTCCGAGTAGCCGGAATTACAGGCATG